TTAAATGCTAGCTTATAGCTGCCAAAGCCTATAAGTTCGTTTTACTGTCTTTCTTAACGCCTTCGCTGAACTACCCAATAGTTGTTTTTAAATAAAAGTTTTTTAAGGCTTTAATCGCATTTAATTCTGTTTTAAAAGCAGCAAGCGTTTAAAACTCATAGCATACAAAAACATAGTTTCCAGGTGCTAAAGTCTTAGTTAACCAGTGATACCATCACCTTTTTCCTACCGTATTTGATCTACGCAAAATTTGCTTTAAGCCTGTAGAGGTATGGCAGTATTGATCTGCTTTCATTTATTTTTATAAATTTTGCGGCTTCCAGCGTTTAATTAAAATACAATTATTAAAAGAACACAATAAACGCTGCAGGGTCCTAATTTACAACACATTAGTTATATGTTACTAAATAGCAGATGTATAAAAGGCTATTCGTTCGACATTACTATAAGTAATTGAATATTAATGAAGTGTATATAAATTAAAATTTAGTTTAATAATTATGTTTAAAGAAGCTTGTTTAGTAACTTAAATATAAGGATACTTAATTATAATTAGCAAGAACCCTGTTCGAATAACACTAAATGTATCACTAAATGTAAAACAGATTGTGTGGCTGTTCATTTGGTCCGCTTTATTTTGAGCCATTTTTTCATAACGCCAACTACGTAGGCTGTCACAACACTTCCCATAACCTTACTAATATTATAAAGGCGAAAGTTTGTATGTATGTATGGATGGATGTTTGTTACTCTTTCACGCAAATACTACTGAATGGATTTTAATGAAACTTTACAATAATATACCTTATACATCAGAATAAGACATAGGCTATACTTTATATAAGTATTTGAAGTATACCTGTCTTTCTGTCTGAATGTTACGCTTTCAGCCTATTCTACGCAGACGTAGTCGTGGGAAGCAGCTAGTTCACAATATAAAGAGAGCAAAATAAGTTTTATTGGCACGTCGTACGTCCAGATTGCGCTGAGAACGGACGCAACAGGCGATTTTATTGTTATACTCCCATGTGGAGCACGGGCATACATAGCCTGCGATTTGTAGCAAAATGTGGAATGAACGAAGCTATTCACTAAGAATCTCTGTGGCTCGGTGCTCAAGCGTGCGTTATTCATAGGCAAAGTTTTATGCCGGCACCTGAACCAATAAAATTGTAGTGCAAATTTTAATTGCTTATTTCTAACAAACCGATGAGCAGTAGGTAATAGATATAATTAGTAGTTAATAGCTATAAGATGCATGATTTTTAGTACTGCAGTAACCTAAAAATGGCGAATCGATGGTAGTTTATGATATTCAAAGTGCTTGATAAAAAAATGCTATAATAAATCCTCTGGGGAAATATATGCTATGCTTATAGTATAGACTTCTAATACGTCACTTCACAGAATATTTACCACATAATGACGATACCAGCGAATACTTTTCGCAATATTAACATTTAAATAGCTCAAAATTCAAAAGCTAAAGCAATATTGTACATACGATAACACGATAATAACGGTTATTTGTATACCACGGTAGCTTTCTCGAGTCGTTATTTATTTGTACTAATTAGGCATCATCACAGTAAATCAAATAAAGTAGTTAGAGCAATATAATAATAATCTCAGTGTTATTGAGTACAATTGAAAATGTATAAAAAAAATTAAAAACATTAACTTCATACACAATTTAGTTATACATTATTCTTTTTAATTTTGTTATAATTCCTTTGTTTTGTTGTGACACCAAATTATTCCTATACATTTTTGTTCATTATTAAACAATTTTTTATGTGATTTGGAATTTGTGCAATTATCATCAATACATAACCACATGGTAGGTATATTAAGACACTATCAATTAGCGCTAAATCAAAGGAATACCTACTTCAAACGAAACATCAGAGGGTAAGAATTTGCTCTAATATATACAGCCCGCTAACTCGCAGCAAAAATGTCGGACTCCCAGAAAGAATCCGAAAAATTACTTTGAAATTTCTTAACGTCAGTTTTGTACATAAACTTAACCAGAATACTCAAGTAAATACTTTCTTCTTTTGATTTAACTTAAATACAAGCTATTTAATACAAAATTTCACATGTATTTAAAGTAAATAGTAGCAATTTATATTTTGGATATTACAACAGTTTATATAGAAATCTACTAATGATTAGTCTTAGAACGTGGCAAACGAAATATATTAACCCCAGATTCGGTAAACTTTTCCCCAGTGTAATGCTCAACTAGCAACTTTCTATTGAAATAACAATAATACATCGACGACTGCCTGTAATTGGCTCCTAGAAGAGATTAGCCAACCAGTAACTGAACGTTGTATCCCTATTCGATATGAAATATCTCAAAAAAATATATAATTTTTTTTTAAAATAACACAAAAAATGGTCTCATTTCCTACTTCAATAATTAAATATTAATTTCTAGCATTGTTTCAAATCTTTAGAAAACTCCACTTGGTTTTTGATCGTTTGTCATCGTGGACTGTCGCAGATTTATGTTAATTATGATGATGATATAGTTTAACCACAAATGAAAAAATAAATTTAATTTCGCTTATTTAACTTCTGTTAAAACCGTAAAAATATTATAGTAATTATTATTAGGATACAAATCGATTAATTTCACTCAAACCGTATGACTAAAGTTAATATGAAATAAAGTTACTTCGTGAAAATTAAAAGAGAGCAGTAAATAATAAAAAATCACAATATAAATATTGTATTATTGGTAGCACTAGTCTACCCAAATGATTTAAGGAAATTTTAGTACAAGGGAGGTTTTAGTCTGTGACACAACAGAATGTCGGGAATGTTTATGGGCATTGCTAACAATGTAAACTTTGTGGCCGCTTTAAATATAAAATATTCGTAAATTTGTACATTTACATGCCAACATGGTTTCGAGTACTTAACTTCTCAATTAAATTCGGTTAGTATGCATTTTATAGAAATTACAGATATGGGTCTCCGAAGAGAACTGCATGGAATATGACATAATATGACGGACACTATATCATCCATTTTGAGGAATATTGAAACTCTAAGTGCGATACCTGGAACGCAATATAAATGTTGTCCGATGCATAATTTTCCGCTGGCTAAGAATGCCCGCCGGTTAATATTTTTATTAACGTATATTGTATTTTTAAATCAATTAATTATATTCCTTATAAATAAAAGGGATATTATTTGGTTATTAACAATGAGCTACCATCCAATTCTGTACGAACACATGAGTAATTCACGTGTAGGTCCAAAACCCCTTGTAGAACACAAGGGACTTCATATCGAACGTGTAACATTCCTGGTAAATCTAAAATCAGATAAGCCAACACCCCGACACAAAAATCAGAATCAACTTGCGTCAGAGTATGTTTATGTGATACATAAACAAAAATCCAACCACATCCGCGATTGTCTGTCAATTTGTATGTACGAAAATAATTTCAGTTGCCTATTAAATTGTGTTGGTACGGCGTTGTCTGTGTGGGCTGTTCATTCCGTATTCGAAATGTTTAACGTAGAAATATATGAGTTTATAAGGGAGCACATCAATTTAGCATATCATTTAGTTACTGCGACTCCTGATCATAAGAATTATCATAAGAAGGTGTTATAACCGTTTTTTTTTTGGTGAATCGTGTATTTTGGAAAATAATAAAATAAAAAATAAAGAAAGCAATGATCTGGTATATAAAAAAGTAAAAAAAAATGAGTGTGTAAATGATTGTGACACGAACCGCTGCCTTCTGTTTCGGGACCGCCCACATTATTTTTTTCGGCGAAATTTACCGTCATATTCGAATGATATTTTTCATTCCCTGAAAACAGGGATAAAAGGACATTTTCTAAAAATAAAACCTAGCTAGATCGATTTTTCGCCCCTGAATCTACGCACATACTAAATTTCATGAAAATTGCTGGAAACGTGATCTCAATAGGTAATAACAGATGTGATGAAGCGATATAAAACCATGACCATCATGTGGTAAAAGTACTAGTGGTTTTGGAATTACTTGAATCATCATTAAGAGTAAACATGAGAAAGCCGAACAAAAAAACCGGGAATAAAATTATTAATTTAAATTATTATGAATAATAAGAAATTGCGTTAATACTTATTTATAACATAAATAAGTATAAAAAAATAAGTGCGTTATTTTCGTTCATATTTCATGAAACCTTTATAAATTACATACTTTCATAGCTTACCGTACCTTACAAAGTAGAGTAATAATTATCGGTCTGATACACATAATAATCACGAAGTTATAATATTAATAACATTAATTTCTTCAAAGTTGACGTATCTTGTTTCATCTGTAATGATGATTTTATCGCATAATTGTGTGAATATATTGTAGTTAAGTAGACTTAAAGATTTACGACTTAAGTAAAGTTAAGACTTGCAATTTGTGGTGATTGGGTAGAAAAAATCATGAATTTTTAGAATTAATATGAATGAATCTGATTAAATGCACCATAGGAAGTTTTTATAAGATGCTAATGTTTCATATGAAAATCAAAGTTAGCCTGATGTGAAAAAAAAAAATGAAATATGCCATGTTATACCGCTTCCCATCGAAACATTTAGAACTCGTTATTACTAATTAGTTTAATATATAGAGCTCGAATGCTATTTAACTTCTCCGAGGCTTTGATAAGACGCACGGTACTATCTTAAAGCTCTTAAAATTAGCATGTTAATTTACAACCATACATAAACACGTGACATCTATTAAGAACTAACAACTCATGCAGAAAGGGGGTTGCGAACGTGCGTAGCGTGTGTGGTTTCTGTGCACCGGGGCTTAATTTGACAAAGGCTTAGCGATCCCCTCGTTACTCTCTTTCCTCCGGTCCCTTTGAGGTTTCTAAAGAATGTTTGTGTTTTCTCATTTAAATAGAATTCTTGAACTTTCAGCTCGTTTTGTTGCTTTGAGCAGATCGCTCGACATTTGCGACGTTGGACCCCGTTATGCTGGTTCGTAATGTGAGTGTAGGCACTGCACGATATGTACCGCAAATGTTGGCGGTGAGGAGCAGCCTGGGCGGCGCTGGCGCGGGCACGGCGACGTTCGCAGCCCCTCGCACTCAGGGTCGGAGACAGTCGCATGCGAAGCGGGAGGGGCGACGGTGGGGCAACATGAACGGGGCTCACTGAGAGGATGGTGCGGCGGCACGGAGAACGTGTAGTACTTGGCCGTTTGGTTGTGTGCGCGGAGCACCGAGCTGTGGGTCAGTGTCACCACCACCACGAGGACGGACGCCAGGGCGAGCGCGAAGAACGAGGCTGCGACGGCCGCCACCACGCGGCGGCGCCGCGCCTCCTTTCCAGCGTCCTCGGGCGGGATTTCGGGCTCCGGGGGCAAGGGCGGCGGCTCCGGGGAGCGGCTGCGGACACTCGGGCCCCGGCTGTTCGGCAACTCGAGTGTGTGCCGCCGCGAGCGCCGCGCCCGCTCGCAGTCGGCGGCCGAGGAGTGGTGGCGCCGCAGACGGTGGGGCGCACCGGGTGCCACGCGGCACGAAGCGGAGCGCAACGTGCGCACCGGCACCATCAAGTCATCGCTGGAGACCCTCGGCACGCGGCCGGAGTGCACCGAGCGCAACGAGTGGTCCCGACTCGAGCCGCTCGGGAACGCGAGGTCGACGGAAGCGCGGGAAGAGTGCCTCGAGAAGCGATCGCGATCGCGGTGGTCCGCGCGCACCGACATGTTGCGAGCGTAGCGCGCGGCGGCGGCCGCCCGAGTGACGGGCGCCCTCCCCGCGTGGTCACGCCGCCCGCCGTGCCGCCGCGCCGCTCTCGTGTTTACACTCGTCCCCGATAGCACAAATAATACTTCCAAACGTACTCCTTCTACACTCGAATGGACGATGTCGAATCAGTATTTACGCAGTACGAGCAAATGGTGTTTGGCATTTCTTCGGCGCTCCAATTCGGGCGAAAGTTTACTCGCATTCATGATTGCCCTGCCGTGCTCTTGCAGATGTCAATAGTATTTTCAAGTTTAACAACGCAAATAAGTATTAATAAATGATCGTTTAATATATCGTTACATCCATTGGAATAAATTGTTGTAGGTATGAAAATGACAACATTCACTGACAACTTTATGTCGAAATGGCGTTATGAGAAATGAAACTATTCACCGAAACTGCAATGGATAATGTTCTATGTGACTGTTATTCTCGTAACGGTAAGAACAGAAGTAAATAGAGCGCAGAGGCTATTGTTGTGGAGTCCACGTTGTCAAGTTAAATTGTCTCGGAGGCGGGAAACGAAATAGATAGTAGAGAAGTTGTTACGAGGCCGCTATATCGACACTATTCAATAGAGACTAAACGAGCCCTACACATATCCAAGGCTGCGTAACGTTTCTATCTATGTCATGATGAATAATATTTTTATCTGTAGACCATAGAATATAAATTATATTGCATATTTTATTACATATGACAATTATAGGCTAAAATGTACTTGGACCACTCTGATCTAATCTGATATATCGTTGACATCTAACCAAAATAAACCTATAAACTGCAAAATAAATGAACATAAATAGGTTTTTTGCTATTAAAATCTCGTAAGACGTCGCTGCTGGCTTTAAGGCGTACTTTCTCTACTATATATTCACATGGTGTTCCTGTTTTTTCTAATAGAAATACACAACCTACTTTCACTACGTTGACACACATTATGAGGGCTTAAGGAAAAGTGCTCCTGTCACATAATTAGAACCATAAATTAGCATTTCGTACGTTTTAAATGTACGATTACAAAAAATATCAATTCCAACAATAACTCAATAGAAAAACTCAACAAACAGTCTTCTTAACTTAATGATTAAAAATCTAATAAAAATTTATTGCTTTTAGTTTTGCAACAGCAGTAGTCAAAGATTAACTTTAACAAGAGAACGCCACACATTGCCGGTACACCTTCTACTCTTATTTAGCAATAAACAAATTGATAACTGTCACGAATATGGTTTTGTTTAGTTGGTAGTCTGTTTGACAATAGTAGGTTTTATCATACGCTTCTGACGAAGGCAAATGTAAAGATTAAATATATAATTCAAATTAAAGACAAAAAAATGATTCACCGAAGCGAAGTTTTCACGGTCTTATTATACTGCATGCTTACAATTGAAATACGATGGGCACATAATGCCTACTACACAATAATGTCATCTCGGTACTGACTGTTTTACGATAAGATAGGGTAGGGCCTTCTCGACGAAGAAAACTATTCAACATCAAAGAAACTCCATCTCTACAATTCTTCAATTATTTATTAGTATTTACATTACCGGAAATTTAAACTAGTCTGTGTAGGCATTATTTTTTACACAGATAATATTATAATTAGGACATTTAATAAAGTTGTAGTCGTGAATAATCGATGTCTGTCCGAAATGAAAGGCACCTTGTGTACGAAACGCCATTCTTTTCTCATTTTGAATCCCAATCGTGTTAGAAATTAGGACAGAGTGGCTTTTTTCTTACCGTAACTACAGAATCTAATCACTGAAACGCAATAACAATCTCACTTCCTAGACACTATTATCTATATGTTTATACAATATTGTAACTATCTACGTCAAAACATACCTAGAAGAAAACTACCTTACTTACTCAACACGTTTACCAAAAACCATGCTTTTATCATACAATAATTTCTCAATTGCGACTTATTATTGACTACAGGTCCGTCATATTAAGTCTACATTCAATACCTATAACAGTAAATATCTAAATGTTATATACCAATGTATCAGTTATTTATAAGTTAATTGTTACTATTTTTTAAATTGTTCATATCAAGAAATATCAACTTCTTTACGACAGGACATCAAATTAATCTTTCAGAGTGCAGACTTTAGCCATTTTCTCGCTAAATATTTATACATAAACTTTAAACGAGAATAGAACTACACCGGCCGTAAAAACAGTTCTAGGTTCCAATTATTTATGTAACTGTGACCTAACTGACGAAAAACAAGATCTGAAGTAGATACTTCGTAGATACTGCATATTTGTACCATTTGCTGTAGATACAACAAACGATACAAATATGCACATAATCTATACTGCCCCGGCCTAGATGGACTCGCTAAGTAGTCGCCAATGTGTCTTCGCAATGCAAGTACATTTTCTAAACAATTACTAATTACTTATTTTTAAGCGGGGGAACGTTAATAGTTAAAACGAGCTTTCGAGATGTTACTGTTTAATGAAATGCGGTAGAAAAATCAACCGGATTTTTTATCAGAATCGAAAAAATGTATGGAGGCAATATTTATTTATATACTTAAACCATAACGACATATGTACGTGATCTTACTGGGCTTACTGATTGGCGCTTCTATTCTTATTATTTGTATTTTTCTGACGTTCAATAAGAGCTAAGAGCTATAAGAGCTTTAGTAGGTCCACGCAACAGTATTCGCTGTTGCACGAATGGGCAGGTCCGTCCGGGTTAGTACCGACCTCACAGAACAGCGGCGTGAAGTAGAAGTGTTACACTTCTGCATTTCGTCTGGTAAGTGAGGTAGCCGGGGCCCACCTTATTAAAACACATCTGCAAACGGTGCTGCAAACGTCCGTGGGTGGCGGTTATCACTTAACATCAGGTGAACCGCCAGCTCGTTTGCCATTTTTTTCACATTAAAAAAAAGCTTAAAATAGGCCTATATTGTATCCCTCCGACCGGGCTCCCGCCTTGCAGTGGCAGAGGGGCTTAGTAGCCGTGGCTTGGTCACTCACGGGGAAGCTAAGAGTTTTCAAAACTCACACAGGTTTAAGGCCGGCCCGAGAAGGCCGCTCCGAGTGGGCTCATTGAGCCAACTTTGGATGCGTGTGGGAGGGTGCAGGGAACAGGGCAAGGGTATTAGAGGTGGAGCCACTCTCACTACCTTCTGCTTCCAAGGAGGAGTGCGAGGGAAGAGGAGTGGGATATTGCGTTGACCGCGCTCTCTATCCTCTGCGACTCGGCGGGGCAGCACCGCGGATGCAATGGTGGTGGGGCCGCGGGGGGACACGAGTGTCGGTATTATGGTAAGTGGTGATGCAGCCTTTGATGGTAAGTACGTTAGCTCAATAAAAACCCATTCACTCTTGCCTACGTTATAATCGGACGGAAATAAGGACGTCGGCAGGTTGTTCCATTCCTTAGCTGTACGGATGATAAATGACGAAGCAAATCGCTTGATTCTTGTTCTAGGAACGTCGACAGCATAAGGGTGGAGTTTCGCCGAACGCCTAGTTGTCCGATGATGGAAAGGGGCAGGAGGAATCAAATCATGCAATTCCAACGCACACACTCCAAAATGCATCCTGTAGAAGACCGAGGCTGACTACTCTGCGCCTGTGCTCAAGGCTAGTAAGGTTGGTTTTAACCAAGTGTGCAAAAGCGTTCCCGTGACCCTGCCGATATGCGCCTAGGTGGAACATTGTGGGGGTTTTAGTCGGTGCGAGTCCGACATAACCCACTCTTGCCAAAGAAATTTTTACTTTGATTCTGTTAGCTTTCACCACGATACCTAAATTACTGAACGGTTAAGTGTGAAGCAAAGGTTGATGAAAAGATTTAGGGGTCAAGGAAACGGGCGAAGTATAAGTATTGTCTTAATAAAACATGATCTTTAAACGATGTTTTAAACTTCGAATTATCTAGGTCGCTAGCTAAGTGTCACATTCACTTCAGTCACTTTACCTACTGCCTACTTTGGTATAATTTCAATCAAGTCCAAAATCTATATATTAATACCTGAACCAAAATTTTTATATCACTTCTTAAGAAAATAGCGCGGATGGAGGAGTATGAAATTTCTCACATTTATAGTTTATATAGAGAAGGAGTGCATAATGCTATTTTTTTAATTGTGCATAAAAATATATATTGAATCAATACATAAAAAACAAACATAACATACACCACCGTGTATAATTAATTATGGTCGAATTTCGACCACCAGGCGACCACTAGTTTCTATAAATTGTTTAACAAATAATTTTCACAATTTTATTTTGCACTTTCGACCTCAACTTTATCTCTAGGTAACACATTTATGTCTGATGCCTACACGATCGTACGTCTAGACACCAGATATTAAATTTTAATTTCAACTCTGAATAATTGGTTGAAATACCAAAGTTACAATATTAGCGGGTCACCCTGCTGAATACATAATATTGTTCCCACTGTATAGGTTTGTGTTTTGACCGAAATGTTTCTCATTATTAGGTACATATACATCTTATATTATTCTGTTTAAAGGTTAAAAATAAGAACTACTGATTTAAATATCTTTCGCCAATTATTTATGGTAGAAACAAATATAAACACGGACGTCAATCGTTCTATAAATAAGAAATAATGATTTACAGTTCCGAGTAAATGTACAAAGAGGTAGTAAAACCAAATATTACTCTCAAAGCAAATATTATTGTGCCTATTTGAATACGTGATAAAAAAAATGTTCTCAATGCGAATTAGGTATATAAATAAAACTTAATAAAATTCATAATTTTTTTTTAATCTGACTAAATATACTTTGAACAAATCTTTATCGTAAAAGTCGGGCATGGTTATTTTTTTTTTTTTAATAATAATATTTGTTTATTCACTCCACTTATTTTACATAACAAATATAATAATTAACACTATTCAAAAGTAGCATCAATTACATTGAAAAGTAAACGTCGGCAGCCATACTAGTATAAGCTGTGTCACGGCTGCCTGCGTCTCCGACTCAGGGAATACATTAGTTTAACCTAATTAGTAAAATTTAAACGTTTTTGGCCACAATATTTAAGATCTTTGCAAACAAAACTAAACTAATAATGAAAAAAATTGAAGGTAGATACAAAACAAAAAAAAAAGAATTTTTAGTGCAAGATGACCACAAGATGTATTTGGTGTATGGTATAATTATAAGCGGGAAGCGTAACTACATGAGGGAAGTTGAGTTTGTGTTATGAATAATAGAATGTACAGGTAAGTATAAAAGTTTGTGCGTGTGTGTGTGTGTGTATGTATGTGCAATGTTTGTAAGAAATTGAATATACTTTAGAAGTGTTATTTATATTTAACGTTTTATCCGAATAATATTTTCTATTTCATCAAAATTTGAATTCAGTAACCAATCGCAAGTAGTGTTTTCACATCGCTTTAGACTTAGTGGATAAATATTAAGAGCTTTATTTACGGTGTTATAGAGATGGGAACTTATAATAAAGTAATTCCTTTTTGCAAAAGTGGTTCTGTGTGCAGGTATTGCGCAGACTTTGTTCTTATTGCGCTTTTGTGATTGAACGTATGGAAGTCCTCGATGCTTACGAAGTATTGTGTGCATGACAAACAGTTTTCTTACCATGAGAACTGAACATTCACAGTGCAGTAGTGACGTGCTATACTTTTACGGTCTTCTGTAGATTAATTTTAATATTGCCCGCTGAGCTCGCTCCAGGGGAAGCAAAGTACCAATACTAGTGCTACCCCATGAGACAATGCAGTATTGAAGCAAAGATCGGACAAGTGCACACATAAGTGTGTTGTGATCAGCAGAATTCCTAAGTTTATAAAAGACAGGAATTAATTTTCTAATACGGGCTGTTATAAATTTAATATGTAATGACCAATTAAGATGATTATCTAGAATCAGACCAAGGTATTTCAAGTTACATGTTGATGATAATTGAGGACAGCTGCAACAGTTATTTAATCTTTCACAAGTATGAGCCCTTATACAAAAATCAATGGGTGGTTGAGTATTGACCCGTGGGGCGAATGTTATGTACTTGGTCTTTCCTAAATTTAGTGTAAGCAAATTGGAGTCCAAATACCTCATAACCTCATGGTGGCTGGATGGCATTTTCAGTGTAGTGGCGAACCTGATCCCAATCCTTACCGTGCACAATCAGCGCTGTATCATCTGCATAAGTGATTATTTTGCAATTTGGTAATGAAAGCTTGCACAAGTTGTTAATATATACTAGGAAAAGGGTTGGGCCCAGTACACATCCCTGTGGTACTCCATAAGTGAGTTTGACATCCAAGCTTTGATATTGAGCTAATTTAACACGTTGCGAGCGATTTGAGAGATAGTCACGAAATATATCCAAGACGATTCCACGTACACCAATTGATTCCAGTTTTTTCAATAGTAATGGTACAGACACAGTATAAAATGCCTTCGATAAATCCAGAAAAACTCCAACAACTTTGTGACCAACATCAAGGTGCATAACAATAGTCTCAGTTAGATTCAAAGTTGCATCATCAGTGGATTTACCTTTTAAAAATCCATACTGATTTTCTGCTATTTCATTTGTCTTTTCTAAATAATTAACAATTCTGGAATTTAAAAGCTTTTCCAAAATTTTTGATAGTGTATTCAGCACCGAGATAGGTCTGTAGTTACGTATCATATCTTTATTTCCGCTTTTAAAAATGGGATGTACTAGAGCTCTCTTGAGGATGTGTGGTAAAACTCCCGAAGTTAGGCATTGATTAAACAAGTGGGTTAAAGGTGGAATAAGACTACTCATTGCGCTCTTAAAAACTTGAGTAGGAATGTTGTCTACACCTGCAGCACAATTGTTTTTAAGTGTCATGATGGTATTCTCAACTTCAATATAATCCACTTCAAGTAAA